TCCTTTTGTAAGTTTAACAGGCTTTTGTAGCATTACATATGTAGAATGAGTGATCTATACCACTACTGATAGAAATAAAGTGGAGTCCAATTTAATTAATCAAACCAAAAACATCACTGGGAGAAGCCTCAGCTGTAAACTAGGGCTGCAACAACTAATCAACATAATCGATTATAATCGATTATTGAAAAAGTTGTCAACTTTTTCAATCATCGATTAATCGGCTTCCGATTGGTTGGCCTTGTTCACTGCTCCACACACGCTGCGCGCCACACCTCCTCCCCACCTCACGCTCGCTGCTGCCAGATCTGCCCACATCACGCTCACCGCCTGCCCAAATCCACGATCGGCACAGGGACGCGGGGAGAAGAAGTAAGGAGGAGCAGGTGTGGGGGGATGACAGCCACCGATAGACAGGCCCGATCTCAGAAACAAGTTGCTGGAAGACTGCTCAGGTAAGCCTGCACTTTCACACACATGGTTCTCTATAATGTATTGCTGGGATTTGTATTCCTCTATAGCGGATGGTACATGGTGCTGTATATTATACATAGGAATACAAATCCCAGCAATACATTATACACTGTGTGTATAATGTATTGCTGGGATTTGTTGTATTCCTATATAGCTGGTGGTATTCTGCATTGCGCTGTGTAGAGGACTACAAATCAAGGAATAATACATTATATAACGCAATGCGGAATACCACCAGCTATAGAAGAGTACAACAAATCCCAGCAATAATACATTATACAGTGATGCAATGCCGAATACCACTCGCTAGAGAGGACTACAACACCTAGCAAAACTACATTATACAACGCAATGCAGAATACCACCAGCTATAGAGGACTACAAAACCCAGCAATAGTACATTATAAAGTGCAATGCAGAATACCGCCAGCTATAATGTACTATGGCTGGGATTTGTTGTATTCCTCTATAGCTGGTGATATTCTGCATTGTGCTGCATAATGTACTATTGCTGGGATTTGTAGTCCTCTGTAGCCGATGCCATTCTGCATTCATTGCTGTATAATTTTACACTTTTCATTTCACTATATTGCACACCACACTTTTTTTTTTCTTTTTTACTTCCATTGCTCCAAGCTTGCTCCTGTGATGGACTACAATCTCTATACAAACTAGTAGTCCCATCACTGGAGCCATTTTTTAAAATGTATTTTATTTTTTAATTTTTTATCCGATTAACCGATTAATCGAACTTAATAATCGGCTAACTAATCGATTTTGAAAATAATCGTTAGCTGCAGCTCTACTGTAAACTATCAATCTCAAACTCCTGAGGTCATACTAAGTCTAGGACATTATTGATGCCCTGGAACTAGTATATGGGCATAGTATGCAACTTCATTCTGAAGCTGGTTATAAGATGTATGTTAGGTTATAGTCCGGTCATGCTGACTGGTGAGACACCCTAAATGTTTTCAAGCCCTGCGCATTGCATTTATTGAACCTTGTACCACATCACTGGTGTCCAGCCCAAGGGCCTGCCCCCGCCTCTGACACTTTTCACCCCATCACGGGCATACATGACGGTGAAACGCGTCAGTGGGCCGGACCTTGGGCGGGACACCAGTGATGTGGTACAAGCTTCAATAAACTATTCCAGCGGAATCCGGTGTGCGGTCAGCTTTCCTTCTGTTTTTAGGGGCAAACACGGAAACACATCCTAACAATACTAATTTTTAAAGCAAACCTGTCAAGACAGAAATATGGAAGCTCCAAATGGATATTAAAGGAATTCTGTACTGACAAAATACCTAGGCTGCCACCGCTGAGTTCTCTTTTTAAAAATGCCATTTGTCTAGAAAGTGGCTTTGATTCACAGTCACTGCCAAGGAACAATAATGTAGATCTGTAGTTCCGACTCTCCTGTTACTTTACTAGCTTCATATGTGTTCCTGGTCAGCAAGGAAATATTGAGGCCAGAGATGGCCATGCAACCAGCATATTCAGCTAAAGGCCAGAAATAGTCTTTCAATATGCATCTCTAGGACAGGCATGCTTGTAGAAGAACTCCAGGAAAACTTTTTCTTAACCCTTGCATTAGGGCTACCCCCACACTAAAAGAGTTAAGTGCTTGTTAAGTTATACTCAACAGAAGCTCCGAGACGGCCAGCAGTCACAGCACTCCCCTCCAGCCTGTCCCCTCCTCCACTAACACATTGGAATCTTCCTCAGCATCCTCACGTCTATACACTACATATAGATGTGATGAGTTGTGGGACCTTAGACCACTGGAGAGGAGGGGCAGAGACACTGGAAGGATCGATCTAAGAGCAAGCTGCCTTGAAGAATCGGGTGAATATAGTTTTTTTTTTTTACTTAGGCACAAATGAGTAGTTAACTGTGGAAGTACGGGGGATAGCCCCACTGCAAGGGTTAAATAATTTTTTCCTGGAGTTCTTTATCCCTTGCTTCACTGCTTAGCGAGTCATTGATCCAGAACAAGAACTGAATACCTTACAAAGTGCCATAAATAAAAAAATAAAAAAAGTGCTCAGTTAAATTCAAGCATCCCCATACAAATTTAAAACCATTTAGCCATCCTGTCTTCATATTATGAGCTTATCGGGTTCTCACATTTCTTACACTGTATGAGTCACACACTTTCTTGAACATTTGCTGGATATCACCCTGGAGATCTTCATTCAAAAAAGGTAACCCCCACAACCCATACTTCACAGGAGTAGTGTTGGTATTGTGGCTTGTCTAAGAATTACATTATATCTCCTGTCCCCTGTAACAGTATAGTAAAGTTGAAATGTTGCCGGACATTCTCTACCCGATAAGAAAAAGCACATAAAGCCAGTAAACCACAGCACGAATTTGAGCAGATTCCTGCTTGATCAGCTGAAATTTGATTCGTGGGTGGCTCTCCCCGGCACTGCCCAAGTCAATTTTTCAATTGCCTTTTTGCCAAAGGAGCTGGGTACAAAATGGTCAACTGAACTGCAGTCAGTCAAACACCAGCAATCACTGTTAAGATATTTGGACAGCGGGGGCTGTCAGAATAGGACAGCCTTGCAGCACAGATGGCCAAATCTCCCGTTTAGAAGGCAGCACGCAAGAGATCTATGCATGTATGGCCAGATTTAAGGTACACATGCATATCAATTACGTGCTTCCCCAGGTCCAAATCAAGATTCTGCCATTTCCTGCTTTCTGCTCCGGTGGGCAGATTCTGTGTAAGGCTGGAGCACTCAGTGGCTGCTCAAGCAGAGGGAGCCAATCATATACCTTTTATATAGCTTGTGTTTTTATTTTGTTTTATATGTGTATATGGAGAGATTATATGTGTCACATTGGAGAGATATACTCTCACTTCCTGTTGAGTCTACAGGACAGGAAGTGAAGGGAAATATGCCCAATGAAGCAGACAGGGCCAAAAAAATATCCAACACTCATTCGGCTTTAGATATACTTTAACATGCAAAAAATTATATTCAATTGAAAATGTTACACGTTCCAGTCCGGTGCATTAAAACAGAAGTTAAATATAGTTGTGTGTACTGCATTCTGCACGTCACCAGAATGAACAGAATGACTTGGCTTCATAGAGCTGCTTATGGAAGGCAGTAGGCAGGGGTTATAAACAAAGGGGGTCTAATTGCAAAGCTACAATTTTGCTGAAAGTGACAAATTCAGGTTTGTGTTTTAGTAGAATGATAGTAAGCACTAGTTCAATGTAAAATGACCACACAACAGAGCCCCACTGCAGTTTCAGAAATACAACCACTTGTGAGAGAGATGGGAAAAAGTACAGTGAATGGTGTCCCAAAGACTTTAACAGATGCGTAGAAAGGCTTTCAACAGAAACACGCGTAGTAGGAGCTGCGTGTGGCCACTGTCCCACACCATTACATAGTGGTCCATGGTGGTAACAAGCAGACACAGGGCAATACCCACAACTGTTGCAAATGATGTGTGATGGGAGAAGATAAGTTAGTTTGCATATCAGCAGCCTCCATAGTTTACAGAGCCAAAACCATAATTATGTTCTATTTAAAGCTCTTAAGAGTTTTTCAAATTTGAAGGTTTTTATTTACACTGGAGTCCTTTTTAAATATTAGTATGCCAAAAGGCATATTAAGAAAGATAAAATTCCCAAGGCTTTCTACAAGGTCTCAACAAATATCTACATGTGTTTGAACTATGCCTAAATCAACCTCATCTGACTGCCATGTGTTTGAGTTACCCGTTCCTAGTGGTGTTTTATATACCCGACGTAACTTTCAGACTGAAACTACTAAGGATGTGGCAGCAATAAGGAACAATAGAGGTAGCAGGAGGCCTGAGTCGAGCATATTGACCAAAAACAGATTTGCTGAGGAAAGTTTAGAGAAGAAGAAGAAGATCAGTCACTTGTCTCCTCTCATACCCTTTATGCAGTGCTTTATGGACAAAACATGGAAGCTTTGATTGCCCCTCTGTCCAGAAAGGTGGTATAAAAAAAAAACAAAAAAAAAACATGCATGCATTTTCATTTGAAAACTGACAGTATATTGCTCATGGGAAGTAATCAACTTTACCTCCCCAGAACTAGCATGGGCAACATTTAACATTGCATAATCAACCTTAACATTTTCAGATAATATTTCACAATGAGCTTTTCTTGAACAGATAATGTTACTTTACCATGTCACTGGAAAATGTTGAGATAATGGGGGGGGGGGGGGGGGAATTATAATATATAGTACATGCAATGAAGACATTTCACTAAAATAAATGGGGGGAAAAAAAACGTTAAAAAAAATATTATAAAATCTTGCTCACAACAATCTATCACACTGACATACCAAGTTTGCATGAATCGAACCAGACCCATTCAAAGTTATAGGTATTTTCTAATTAGATTGCTCCCTGCTTCACCTAGAACAAATACCACCGTACACCAAAGAACGGGTAAAATTGTGAACTCCTTTAGGACTCAGGTAAACAAAAAAAAAAAAAAAAAAAGGACAGTTTATTTTTAGCTGTTGTTCAAGTGCAACGTTTCACATGCTCTAAAACATATTCTGGAAAATGCAGGCTGCATACTTGTAGGCCATCTAATTTGCAAGGCATTCTGGGGTACTCGTCTTCTTTCCATTTGTTTTCTTCCGGATCAAATGTTAAGATAGAGTCACTATAATGGCCATTGTAACATAGCCCACCGAGTACCATTATTTGTTTGTCCAGCACAGCCACACCATGACCACTCCTTCCGATAGGCATAGATGCTAGAATGGTCCACTGATCTGTTTCCGGATCATATACCTCAGTAGATGGACATCCCTGCGATTCAAAGGAGGCCCTTAGTATGACACAGACACCCCCAAAGACATAGAGTTTACCATTGTAAGAGATCATTTTGTGAAAACATCTGGCGTAGTTCATTTTGCATTTGTTTTCCCAGCAGTTGGTGTGCACTTGGGTTCTTCGGGTTCTTTGCTCCATTGTGCCTTCTTTGCTAGGGTCAAACACACAGACTTGCTTAGATGTTGAAGAGGATGTAATTCCACCAGTGATGAACAGCTTATTATTGAGAACTGTACCCTCATGGCCATACTTGTTTACTGGATACGGGGCCACAAGTTCCCATTTGTTTTCTACTATATCATAACGTTCTGTCGAGTAAAATGTTTCATCACGCGTCCTGCCAGCAACAGCATAGATATATCTCCCAATAACACCTACTGCAAACTCCGACCGAGGTACAGACATATCAGACATCCGAACCCAACTGTTTTGCCTTGGGTCATATCTAAACACTTTGGATGATGCGTGAAATTCTCCATCTGGACCCAGTTCTTCTCCTCCAAGCAAAAAGACAAAGTTGTTAACAATGGCAAGGCAGTCAGGTCGAAGAGGTACCAGCGGACCTTCGAGTTCCCACCACACTCGTGGTTTGTGCAGCAAAAGAATTTTGCTGTTGACCATGCTGTGTCCAATCATGCCTCTGAATACTGCTGTTTGAGGTTTTGCTGAACGAATATGATTGGACTTCATATCCATCAAAGGTTGCTCACTTACATTGTGAAAGTAATTTAGTGCCAACTCCACTTCTTGTCTCAGCTGACGTGAGTATCTGTAAAACTCAGAGGTTTTTACCTGCAAAAGAGAAAACAATGTAAAAATTGCACAATTTATTCCACCATGAAGTCCAACCAAAAATACTAAGACTTACATTAGTTTTAAATGGGGCAAGGTAAAACTGTTGCTACATATCTTCATATGCTTCTCCAAGCTACTAAGTACAATATGCCCATGTAGACTATAAACACCCACTTAAAATCTTCTGAGTATGACCTTAGTGCAAATTGTCTACATCAACATGAGACATGGTAAAAACTCTGACTCTACACCAGATCTACATTATAAAGTGATATATAACTAAGGCTACCCAGACATATGTTGATTTCTCTCGTTTGTCCAAGTAGGCAGAATGGGAGAAATCACTTGATTATCCCACCCATGCTAAACAGAGTGGATGCACCCATGGTTGTCAGAATACCTCAACAATTGGTTGCAGTCACCGTTCAGCTGACAATGTTTTGCCTGGCCCCTTCCATGTTCCAGAAGTTTGTCAAAGCAGTTGGTGCTAACAAGACCACCCAATGGTTCAAATCTCCACCGAAACGGCTGAAATTCGATTCATGTACGACTAGCTTAAGCGCAGAGCTCCTAAACTTTACAAACCAGAAGGCCATACTACAAAACAAAAACAAAAAAAACAAAAAAAATCAATTCTTTATATAGAACACCATCAGCCAAAACTCTGTTTTGCTTTTGGATACAATGGGCAATGATTGTAATTGGTCAGGTTTTTAGTGCTCTTCTTTTGTGGGACAGAAAGTTTAAAGAAATCTCCCCAACAGGACTGCAGATTGGAATGAAGACGAGACATGGGGTCGAACCTCTACTGTCTCTATCCAAAACTAATGAAGATGTAAGACTATCTGCAAGGAGTTCCCATGCTCCCCCTGTGCTTGTGTGTGGGTTTCCTTCGTGTACTCCAGTTTCCTCCCACACTCCAAAGACATGCTGGAAGGTTAATTGGCTCTTGTCTAAACCGGTCCTGTATGTATGCGAGATAGGGACCTTAGATTGTAAGCTCCTTGAGGACAGGGATTGATGTAAAGCGATGCGTAAATTGTCAGCGCTATATAAAATACCTGTAATAAATAAATTATAAATAAATGTAAAAAGGTTTTAGAAGGTGTTAAACCAAAAAAACTATGCTTCCAAAATATAAGCTAACAGAAATTTAAAAGGCGAAAAAAAAAATAGGAAAAGAAAAAAAACCTTCAATTTCAGAACTCCTGTATATGAAGTGATCACATGCTTACTGTAATTTCAAAATGATTACCATGCAAGGAATGTGAGACATTAGAGAAGCTACATTAGAGGATTATTACTCAGTTTTGTTTGGATACAACTGTATGTCTATGGGCACTCTGCAGACACTTCCTGGACATTAGATATAAGAAAATAAATTGACTATATTGGATTTTCTTGGTCAATTGTTCCCTTGAGAGGCTGGCACAAGGAATGTCAACTCCTTACAGAAGCATGTACGCTGGACTCAAACTATCATACATTTGTATGTCAAGATAATTCTGCAGTTTCAGGTCTATAGGGAACATCAGCAAGAAACAAGTGTATTTCCACTTCCGCCGCAAAATTGGTAAAACACCTATTTTTAGGGCGTGAAAAATTTTAGGGTGTCTCACCAGTCAGTCAAAAATGTCACAAGTCAGCATGACCGGACTATAGCCTTGCAATTTATGTTAAAAAATTTTAGGGACACAGAGCTTTCTTTTGGTGGTATATAATATAATATAATCACCACCACTATATAATGAAAAAAGTACCGAAAATTTTAAAAAATAAAAATGTTTTCTCTATGTTATGTTAAAAAAAACATATAAAAGACAGGGTCACTTCGGCTAAATAGACACCAAACATGTCAAACTCTAAAATTGCGTGCGCCCGCATAATCACAAAAAAATACCATACCCAAAATTGACTATAGGCGACGCTTTAAAAGCTTTTACTGCTAAGAAGCCCCCTATGTGATGGCCAATTTACACAGACAGGTCTTCTTTATGGAGAAATCAGGGTTCTCTAGGACCCCTAATATAACCTAGGTACCCCCAAAGAAGCTGATGAAGCAGAGATCTGCTTCACCAGCTTCCCTCCAGCTACAGAAGCTGGAGAATGACAGCTGAATGCGGAAGTGATGTAATATACATTACTCCTGCATTCATAGAGCGAGGAGGAGCTCAGAGGGAGATCATGTGATGATCTCCCGGTGATCTCCGGTGACAGAGCCGCCCTGCGGATGCCGAGCCCTCACCGGACACAACGAGGATCGGCAGAGGGGGGGCACACACCAGCACGCATATTACAAGCGATCTAGCATCTCTACAGCCACCCGCCGGATTGGTTGTATGTAAACCGCGCTGCTACTCGTCCGGCTCCGGTGTCCTCCCGTCACACACAGGAGAACGAGTTAATTTTCAAGCCCTAGTAATATGTGTAGTTGTTACATGCTATAAAGCCATCCTTGTACTGTCACCAGCTAGTGGCAGGTCTTTTCCATCATGTTTGCAGTTGTTCTGACTGACATATACACCCCAATACACATTGGAGGGAATTTATCAAAACGGGAGCAGACAAAATGTGGAGCAGATTTGCATAGCACCCAATCAGCTTCTCTCTCTCATTTTCAAATCTCAACTGAGCAAACTGAAGAGAGATACTGATTTTTTTGTACTATATATATATTTACTATATAATGAAAATTTAGAACAAAAAAAATGTTTTCCCTGCGTTATGTTAAAAAACATTTATTCTTACCCATATTTTTGGTAAACATCGGGTTAATAGTCACCAAACATATCAAGCCTTAACATTGCGCATGCTCGCAAAAAATGACCACACCAAAAATTGTCCACAGACGACGCTTTTACTGCTCATCAGTTTAGTGTTATCAGTGATTAATGGCCCTAGAATTATTGCTCACACTCCGATGTTCGCAGTGATATGTAGCATGTGTGGCACAATACTCGTTTCCGCACGCGAGGCATGTTTGCGTGTGTATGTGGGGGGGGCGGAGGACCTAAAAAAAAAAAGTTTTTTATTACTCTATTTTTACACTTAACTTTATTGACCTCACACAGGGGGTTCTTAGCACCCTATGTGATAGTCCTCTTTATGGAGACATCAGGGGTCTTTAAGACCACTAATGTCACCTAGGGACCCCATAGAAGCAGAGATCTGCTTCACCAGCTTCTGAAGCTGGAGAGTGACAGCAGAATGTGGAAGTGATGTAATGTACATCACTTCCTGCATTCCGGGATTGGAGCTGGTGTACTGAGCTCACTTTGATCTCCTGTCACAGAGCAGCCGTGCCGGTGCCAGCAGGTCTCGGGACAGGCAACGGCAGTGACAGCTGCTAATACAAGCGATCGAGCGTCTGTGTAATTACAACGGCCGGCGGGGAAGCTACTCGTCAGGCTCCGGCGTCCTCTCGTCAGACAAGAGGATTTTTCATGTAACATTTGTTAAATGTTCTCATTCACATCACATTCACAAATTTAAATTACTTTTTACTTGGGCTGGGGTTTCATGAGGGATAGTTTCTACTTCCTTTAAATCATTATAATTTTGTAAAGTAGATTTCAACACTACCTGCGCTAGGAAACAAGCCCGAAGGATTAAAAGCCTGGCTCCTACATTGTATGTTAATGAAGTTAATGAGAGAAACACAGTCCTCAAATTTCGGTCTAAATCTTTCTATAGGGAAAGATCACTGCGAAAACTAATTTTTAAAATTTTTTATTAACATATAGAAGGCGTTTTCTCAAATTCGACTGCAAAATGCCAATATAATTACAAGCTAAAATAAAGTGGCAAAATCCTCAAATTAGGAGCCAGCAACAATTTTAAGGTGTCGGGGGAACATGTCCTTCCAGTGTTCCAGTTGTAATTTTGCTTTCCCCCTCGTTCCCAGGATTTGTCCAGTCCTGGCAGTGGGGCCATCTTTTGCAGACTTTAATATTACTCTGCATTGGTTTTTTCAGAGCTAAACTACCTAAATATTTTGTAATCTCACTTAACTACAGCCCTATTAATTGGTCCAACTAGTGACATTTTATTTCACTTTATTAGGTACACCTTGCTAGTACTGGGTTGGACCCCTTTTGTCTTCAGAACTGCTTTAATTCTTCGTGGCATTGATTCAACAAGATGATGGAAACATTCCTTAGAGTGTGGTCCATACTGACATGATAGCATCACACAGTTGCTGCAGATTTATTGGCTGCGCATCCATGATGCGAAGCTCCACCAGCCTGAACCGTTGATACAAGGTAGGATGGATCCATGCTTTCATGTCGTTTACATCAAATTCTGACCCGACCATCCGAATGTCGCAACAGACATCGAGACTCATCAGACCAGGCAACGCTTTTCCAATCTTCTTGCAAACTGTAGCCTCAGTTTCCTGGTCTTAGCTGACAGGAGTGGCACCTGGTGTGGTCTTCTGTGGCTGTAGCCAATCTGCTTCAAGGTTCAATGTTTTCTGTGTTCAGAGGTGGTATTCTGCATACCTCGGATGTAATGAGTGGTTATTTAAAAGGAGAACTATGGGGTCAGTGTTTTTCCCCATAGTTCTCATTAGGGTAACAGGAGGACACAAACGAGCTACAGCTCGCGGTATACTGAGACGCCGCAGCGGATCCGGACTTAGATGACGGGATCCGCCCAGCTGCGTGAGTGACAGCTGGCTCTGCCTATCCAGAGGCAGAGCCAGCTGTACACGCCCACTCCCCCGTCCGTTCCGCCAGTCAGCTGGAGAGGGGAACCCAGCCCCCCCCCCTGCCCCGGCAGAGAGCCGTGACAGGATCGAGAGGCGAGCGAACACCGTATGTGTTCGCTCACCTCCCGATCTACTGAGCCGACCTGCGACAGTCTCATTTGTCACAGGTCGGCTAGAACTATGAGGTGAGTGAAAAGCACTCACCTCATAGTTCTCCTTTAAGTTACTGTTGCCTTCAGCTTGAACCAGTCTGGCCCTTCTCCTCTGGCATCAACATGGTATTCCTGCCCAGAGAGCTGCCACTCACTGGATATTTTCTCTTTTTCAGACCATTCTCAGTAAACCCTAAGGCCCCATTCACACGTAGCGACATATCTTTTGCAGCGGCCGGGATAGCGCGACTTTCGGGGCGACGTTAGCGCGACCTTCTCCGTCGGGCTCCATTAGAAAAAAGTAAAATCCGCCAAAAAAAGGGTCCTGTAGAAGGGACTTGCGACTGCGACATAGAGCTAAGACAGCTCCATTGAATATCATTAGCCGGTGACTTCTCACGATATCGCGCAGCAAAAATGCACGATATCGTGGCGGAAATCGCGCAATATATCGCTACATGTGAATGGGGCCTAAAGATGGTTGTGTATGAAAATCCCAGTAGATCAGCAGTTGCTGAAATACACAGACCAGCCCGTCTGGCACCAACAACCATGCCATGTTCAAAGTCACTTAAAATCACCTTTCTTCACCATTCTGATGCTCGGTTTGAACTTCAGCAGACCATCTTGACCATGTCTACAGGCCTAATTGTATTGAGTTACTGCCATGTGATTGGCTGATTAGAGATTTGTGTTAACGAGCAGTTGAAGAGGTGTACCTAATAAAGCGGTCAGTGAGTAAATAATACCTATTCAGGTCATAAGCAATTCTCTGGTGTTTGTAAGAGAAAGGAAGAAAAAAAGTCAACTCCAATCTGTCCTCCAAATATCCAGTTATTTCCACCATTGTGTACCACCATCTTGTGCCTTGCAAACCATAGAAGGTAAAGTAATGCTGTCAATCAAAGACATCTACTCTTTGTAATATGCGTTACTTCCTGTTATGGATTGCATATCAGGAGGAGCGGTTGGGGGGGGGGGGTTAGAACTTAGCAACTGACTTCTTACAAAAGGTTTACTTTTTTTTATCAATAACAGCAATGTTAAGTCTGGTTAGGCCAGACACTGAGAAAAGGATGGAATTTGAAAATGCTAAGAGAATTATGAAGGCATGACAATGTTTATGTTGGAGAACATCATATTAGGAAGCAGGGTCTGCATGAGTTGACCTATATGTACCTGCACTTAATGTAATCCTCTACTTTGCCCAACCAATCAGGAATTCAGGCAGCGAGCCCGGCTTTCTGATTGGCCGGGAAGCAGGCTCCATGACCCCTCGTTACCTGGTAATGAGGGAGCATGAAGCCCGCTTCCTGACCATTTAGAAAGCTGGACGACGAGCCATTACATGCTGCCCGGCTTCCTGATTGGCCGGGAAGCGTGTCATTACGCACCCCCTCACTTCCTGATTGGTGACAAGGGAGCATGGAAGTTCCGGTATCGGGCTGGACATCGGAAGCATTTGGGCGAGTAGGAGTACTCGCCCAAATACTTGGTATCGGCACCGTTACTACTATCGTAATGTGTGCATCCCTAGCTTAAACTGCAATAGACTGGAACAGTTTATTTGCAATACTGAAAACTTAATAAAAAAACAAGAGAACACAGTTATCAATGATAAAAGTGGGTTCTCTGCAGCTTCTATTTACTTCTTCCATATATTTGTTTTGCTGTCTAAAGGGTCTAGCTATTTCTTACCCATTAGAAAAGTGAGGCCCTAGCTAGTTGATAAATCCTATCTAGGGGTTTCAAACTCACCAACCTTCTCACAGACATGGGATGGGGTCATCAAACAAAACCTGATGTTCTGAATAATGGCATCTGTGTGTCTCCAGCGTCTCCTATCATGTCGTAACCAGGTCTGAACAGCTTCATAGAGCTCAATCTCAGGAAACCGGCTCAGACGATCATTGTCCAAATAGCTCTTGAGTTTTTCATAGGTAAGGTAGGAGAGGAAGTCAGGTCTAGCCATAAGGGGAACAAAGTTTTCCAGGAGAAAGGCATCAAGTTTCTCCCTCACACCTTCTACATCCACACTGAAATCGTCTAAAAGCCTCATGATCTCTGCACAGTTGTCCAGGCAAATTTTTGCCATAAGGAAAGAGCAGCAAAACTTCACTACTTCTGTAAGCTGAACATACATAGCGGCCTGTAAAATTTCATGGACGGAAGCCATGCTGAGGTCAATGGTCCCATAGTACATAAACTGAAGGACATGGCTAAAGCCTGTGGCTGTCAATCCCTTTAGGTAGATTTTGTCCTGGTCACGTTCTCTCATGTCGGCTGTGAACATGATGCGGAAGTAATCACTCTGTGTGGCCAGCAGAGCTTTGTGGGCTTGGAACTGGTGATCTTCTATCACTAGAGTGACGTCAACCAATAGGCCTTCTTCATATAGTGCCCTGAAGCCACCAGAGACACTGCTATCATGGATTGAAGAAGTAAACCCTTCCACGTCCCCAGCCATGAATTACCTGAAAAAAAAAAAAAAAAAGTTAAAAAAAAAAAAAAATGGATATTGGTATGCTGACATGAATTATAAATAATAGTGAATATTAAAGTACAAGCTGGCTTGAAACTTACAGAAATACTAACATAATGCAAAACAATAGAAAAAAGTACTGCAGTGTCACTCTACATAATTATGAAAAATGTCAGCAAACAACAGCCATTTAAAGTAGATAGAAAGGCTAAACAATAAACCAATTGACTTTAAAATGTTGTGACAAAAGCATATTGTTTGACAATCTCAACTATTTAAAGTTATATTAAAGCTTCTGAGTTTTTTTTTCAATATATATTTACAACTTGGGAGGCCCACCTTTGTATATAACTTTTGTTCTTCTTTAAAAGTGTTTTGTTTCTCATTTTCTGACCAACCAGGAAGCCGGGCAGCAGGTCATGACCCACTGCCCAGATTCCTGATTGGTTAGGAAGCCAGGGTGCCTCAAGCCGGTTTGTTCGATAGAACATCAGCTTCCCAGGCAATCAGGAAGTCGTGGCCACAATACCTCGGGATGTCGGTATTGGCGAGTACCGAAAAAAAAATATCGATACTTGAAACCGAAAAACTGTCATCAGTGCATCCCTAAACCCAAACCTCTGGGTAGGGGGAAGCACGCCCCCTATATATGTCACATGTATATAATGTAATTTGGACAGTCCTGTCTCCAGCCGCTGTCAATCACTGGCTTAAAGGAGAACTATGAGGTGAGTGATTTTCACTCATCCTCATAGTTCTAGCCGACCTGTGACAATGAGACTGTCACAGGTCGGCTCAGTAGATCGGGAAGTGAGCGAACACATACCGGCGCTCGCTCACTTCTAGATCCTGTCACTGCATAAAGCCGTGACAGGGGAGTGACTGGATTCCCCCCTCCCTGCTCCGATCCGCCAGCGCTGACTGGCAGAACGGACGGGGAGGGGGCGGGTACAGCTGGCTCTGCCTCTAGATAGGCAGAGCCAGCTGTCACTCACGCAGCTTGGTGGTTTCAGACATAGTTGTCGGGATCCGTTTCAGCTGCGGCGTCTCAGTATACCGCGAGCTGTAGCTCGCAGTATACTGAGCTTTGGGTGACAGGAGGACGCTAGTTTGTGTCCTCCCGTTACCCTTAGGAGAACTATGGGGAAAAGCCCTAACCCCATAGTTCTCCTTTAAAGGCAGGAAGAGGGAGGAGCAGCTTTCTGCAATAGGATTCGGCACTTTGTTTTCTATCCACGCAAGCAGGGTAGGGAGAGACATACTCTGTACCAGCAGGGAGCGCACACATAAAGGTGGCTCCACGGGACTCTGCAAGGGGATGGAGCCACCTAAACACAGGAACATGAGAAGGGGGCATTTTCACAGAGGGAAAGCAGAGCAAATACAGCCTTTGAGAGAAGGACACACAGCAATCATGGTAAATGCTGAGCTCTGCAGCACTATATGATTTTTAGTTGTGAGGCCTTAATATCCCTTTCATGAAGATTTAAAAGAGAACTATGGGGTAAGTGTTTTTACCCATAGTTCTCCTTTGGGTCACGGGAGGACATATACTATACTCCTCCCGTGACCCAAAGCTCAGTATATAGTGGGCTATGGTCCGCGATATACTTAGCGCCACAGCCGGGATGGATCCAGACAATACTGTCTAGACCAGTGGTTCTCAACTCATGGGTCGCGACCCAAAAGTGGGTTGCGACACCTTCTGCAGTGGGTCGCGGCGTCCTTCCTGCAAAAAGCGGCCCATGTTCAGGAGGGAGACAGAGGGGTGATTTGTGCGAGCCAGCCTGTGGGAACTATATATTGAAAACTGTTCCCTCTCATACACCCCCCTGCGCGTGAACTGACCCGGGGAAATCGGGGACCATTTCCTCACTTTCGGGCGGCGGAATAATATGGAGAGGCGGAATAATATCGAGAGAATGAGCTGGTCCCGCCTCTTAGGGGCGGAGCTAGGAGGGTCGTCTCTTAGCTCCGCCCCCTGGTCGGCAAGACGAGGAAGAGGGCCGGTAAGTTTGGAGTGGGAGGGGGGGGCTGGGAAGAGAGAGAGAGTGTGTGTGTTTTGCTGGGACTTGTAGTCCTGCATAGCTGGTGGTAATCTGCATTGCTATATGATGATTATACAGCAATGCAGAATAGCACCATCTATGTAGGACTACAAGTCCCAGCAATGCATTATAGGGTGGGGTTTGGATGCTGGTGGTATTCTGCATACCTTACTTTTATTATAATGTATTGCTGGGACTTGTAGTCCCGCATAGCTGGTGGTATTGTGCATTGCTGTATGAAGATTATGTAGCAATGCAGAATAGCTCCATCTATGTAGGACTACAAGTCCCAGCAATGCATTATATTTTTTAGTAGGGATACACCAGTGTTAATAGTTAGTGTTGCCTTCCCAGAGACCATGGAAGCTGAGAGAAGTAGGCAGGCTGGCAGGGAGAGGTTTGCAGTTTTGTTAATAATGTGTGGTGAACAGATAAAAACAGATCATAATGTCCATGCTGCTAGCTCTTCCCCTGTCAGTGCAGAAGCTGGGAAAGGGGGGGGAGGGGAGCATTAGCAGGGGCTCTGCTGCTCATTTTCTATAAGTATTGCCGCCCAGATCACTTGTAGCAGCCTACTTGTGTGGCGTACCACCACCCCCCCGCACCACCACCCTCCGTAGTTTTCAGGGTCCCCTGGCAAATTCATTCAGGATGGAGAGAATTGATAAAGTGATAAAAAAATAATAAAAATTTAAAAAAAGAAATTAAAACCAACCCTGCCGCCCTACCATCTGCCTGCAAATAAACACGTGCACATGGGGCATGCGTGTGTACTTAAAGGACGATTGTGCCATACAGGTTAGGTATCACTGCGAATGTGAAACTATTTTTGGGTCGCAACTTAATGACCAAGGACAAATGTGGGTCCTGAGGTTACACAGGTTGAGAACCACTGGTCTAGACCCTCCCAGCTGCATGAGTGACAGCTGGCTCTGCCAATCTAGAGGCAGAGCAAGCTGTGCCTGCCCCTCCCCATTCCTCCCTCCAGTGCTAGAAGATTAGAGAGGGGAGGGATCCTTGCGGGGAGCGATGACTGACAGTCACTGCAGGGAGACGATCAGGAAGAGAGCGGATTGGCGGCATGTTTCTGTTCACTTCCCGATTAATAGAGCCGACCTGTGACAGCTTCTTTGTCACAGTTCAACTCTAACTATGAGGATGAGTGGAAAATCACTCACCTCATAGTTCTCCTTTAACTCCTGAGCTTAGTGTCACTTAAAAGGGAGAATTGTCAGCTTCTGGGGTTTACATGCACATTAAAGACAATCCTGGACCACACTGACCAAATAACCTCTTTGCAGTTTTAAATGGACTTTCTATGAAAAGACACACATAGGTAAGCCCAAATCTATCAATCTTATTGCTGCATGCAAAGAGCTTTAAATTCAATATTTGCCAATGCCCCCGATAGATTTGAGTTGTACATGACAGTGGTCACTTGTGCACATTTCTGATGCAGGACATGCCTTTTCTTTGATAATGGATCACAGTGATTGTGCTTTTACATTGCAAATGTATTGCCAGGTCTTCAGCTACAGACCGATGGATTGCATGCGAGTTCCTCATAACCGTTCAGCAAATACTAACTGCACTGCCTGACATACTGCTAATCACCCAGAATTCACATATAAAGCATGATTATTCAGGAAAACACAGGAGGGGATTGAGAGTCCAGAATTTCCAATTAAAGCTTCTCACAGACAACACACAAGCTGCCATTCTCCTACAATTCCCAGCATGCTTTGTCAGGAATGGACTGCCATTGTAAGCTATCCCCCCACACCTACAGGCTCACAGGTATGTGGTGAACACTTCATACTGTGGGGTGACACCGGAAAGGTGAATAGGACATGTGTGCGGGATGGTAGAAGCGTGCTGCAATGAATGCAACGCACCCTATACTCACCTAACAGCAGACACACTGGAGGGATCGCTCCTGCACCGAGTCCTGGGTGTAACATCCGTCCTTATAGTCTACACATCATCACCACCGCCGCTCTCTGCAAATTCACACATCCCCAGCCACGCTCCTCTGCCGCCTTCCGTTTTTTAATGACCGCTCAGACACCCACACCTTACTACCCACAGCGCTCACACCAACAACCAACCTCTATGGGCCAGAGCCGGAAGTCGAGTCACGAGTCCGCCAAAAGTGATTGGCTGCCCCATCCGATAGTCTTACCTGATTTGCCCATTTTTTTGCTTCCCGGTCCGCCCATTCCGCCGCCGCCGCCTTCCATTCCGTACGTACGCTCCATTGCCCTTATCAAAGATGGCCGCGACAATAAAGTATACATGCAGGGAACAATGTGGAGGCTGCCTGTCTTCACCAGGGATGGAAACACTGAAGGCTATATTATTATGATGATGATAATAATTTTTATATAATACGTTTTTTAAAAATTGTTTTAGGATGTCTGTCAGATAATTATTTGATGATCGAGACACCTGTTGAAAATAATAATTATTAGTTACATAGCAAGTTTTTATTATAATAATAATAATAGTAATAATTGTATTAATATAATAATAACAAATGTTTTATGCTGTCTGGCAGGTAATATAATAATAACAAATGTTTTAGGCTGTCTGTCAGGGATTAATTTGATGACTTGGACACCTGTTGAAAAATAATATTAATAATAATTCTTATAAGAGAGCTTTTATTTTTTAAAGATGTCTGTCGGAGATTATTTTGATGAGTTTCTTAGATACCTGTTGAAAAATAATAATCATTATCTATATAGCAAGTTTGTATTGTCTATTCATAACATTAATACAAATAAAATAATAATTATTATTTATTTACTGAGTTTGTATTGTTTTTAAGATGTCTGTCAAAGTTTACATGGATGTGTTACACTTTTTAATTTGGCAACTTTGTCTCGAAAGATTCTCATAGAGTAGTTATTAAGCAATTTTTGTTTGACCTTTGTAATAATAATAATAACAATATATGAATATTATTACTACTATTATTTACATAGAAAGTTTTG